AAAAAAAAAAAAAATCTTCAAACAAAGAGAAGCTTAAGTGGTTCTCTTGAGATTTCATAAAGATGTACCCTTTAGTTAAAAATCCAGTATACTAAATTCAAACCTAACACACTTCCCCTGCTCCCCTTTCTATAGACTCCTGAAAGAACCGTTTTTCTAACAGTCTGTTTTAATGACCAACTACTATTTTGGATGCAAAATTAAAATAAATAAGAGAGCACAGTACAGAGAAACGTGCCTCCACGTCATATGCCCATTGTGCAACGAAACCATTCCTCTGAAGATGAAGTGAGATCATTAAAAGTAAGAAGTTGTTCTAAAGGCAATTTGGGTTTTGATACTTTTCCAAGAGTTCCTTTACTAGTTTCTCTAAGGAGAAGAGATGCTCATCTGCTTCTTCGGGTACGATATTTCTGACGGCACTGGCGAGTTCAAATAGGTATTCCGTGTTTCTGCCACTGGGACCAACTGCACCGAAAATCTGCTCGGCGATTTCTTCCAGAGGCGCCGGACCAAGGTAGTTAGGGTTATCCCAAGTTCCGATGTATAGCAGTACATCAAAAGGTTTTACTGAAGCGTCTTTTGGGTAGAAAATGACAGTTGTTGTCATGTAGCCTCCCTTCTCTCGGAAGTCCAGGTATGCCTTTACTTCACATTCTTGTCCAGCTGGCAATCTGTAAGCAACCCCCCATACACAGCCCTGTTGAAGGACATAAGAAAAGAAAACCCAGGCAGTGTTTAAAAGGATACTCAAAAATTAATGTATTTCTATTGTATTTAGGTAAAACTCTCTCTCTCAAAAAAAAATTCTCCTATTTTCAGTCTTTTTGTAGCTATTTCTCATACTGCTTGTAGAAAGAGTCCCAATTAAAAAGGCTGCTTTATTTAGGAAATTTTCAGTCCAAATGGTAATTAAGCGGATTGATCATCCACTTTCTTGCTGAAGCTGAGGCCTTTCTTACAAACAATTTCTTGTTGCAGTTAAATTTCAAGTAGTAAACACTCTTGGCATGGGCTACTAAAGAGCTGGCAAAAAGGATACAAAGAATCTTCCTGACCTCACAAAATTTGTGTGTGAGAATTAAAGTTGTAAATAGTGCTGAATTCCAAATAATTCTGGTCAGGTCCTTTCCCTGGCTAGTTGTGGTTTCATTTCCAAGGACCCAAGTGTCACCTACATCTGTTACACATCCTTGGAGGGATGAGGGTGGTGATGTGACCACACTGAAACCAAATACGAGCAGAAAAAGAAATGTGGCATGTCCAGCACCTCAGCAAACACTGTTAGGATAAATTTCATTACCATCTCTGAGAACCTGAGTGCTTCTTCATCCTCTTCACAGATAAGATCTCTGAGAAAGGACTTAACTGTGGTGTGAATTAGTTATGCTCCCTTACCAAGTTTTATCCCAACAAATCTCTCAGATCTGTCCAGGGACTGATTTGCATGGGGTTTTGTTTTGAAGGAGCACAAAAAATGATGAGTCTGCTGTCCACTAAGGGCTACAA